TACTGCACATCATAATAAATGAAAATATTAAAAATATGAATCAAATATCATTTCAACAAAATATGTTCACAATTTGAGGAGAACGTCAAAATCAAAGTGTTTTCAACTCACTTTGAAATCTCAAAATCACTATCAGTATAGCAACATAATAAACATGTGCTATGAGTGAACAACAATATTTAAGCAATGTGAGGTTATCAACAACATTTAAGCATTGTCAAGCTATTTATAAAATTTAAGCAATTTCAAACTGTCTCACGATAATTACGCAATTTTAAAATCAACAATATGTAAGTCATGTGAAGCTATCAACAACTCTAGTACAGTGAATACTACTCAAATGACAAGCTTTTGAGCAAATCACAAGCTTTTCAATAAATCACAAGTTTTTCAACAAAACATATTTGATTCATTGTTTGCTCAACTCAACATAAATCAAGTCATCAAAACTTCATTTTACATAGTGAAATAACTCATATTAGTCATATATTTTTATATCCAATTATTATGAAGTAGTATATTCCACCTGTTATAGACAATCAACCCATAACTCTACTTTATGCTCGATCCCTAGGTGAAACTGATGTAGTAGCCTCCGATCCTAACAATTTGTATATGCATAACTGCAAATAAATATCGACTCAAAAATAACTTAATTTATGCATATAAATATGCTTTGTGACGTTTTATATTCACCACAATTTAACTGCAGTACCCAAGTCCGAATACCAACTGGTCACTCAAGCATTTACGAACTCAATGAGTACCCTCTACAACCTCAAACTTCAACGTAAACCCTTTTTTCCACTCAAACTATGTGCACTAACAATTATTTTAAAAGGATTATGGTATCTCATTTTATACAGTCTACTCCATCATTTTGGACTACTGTGCATTATTGCACTCAAAATCCTAATCCAGATCCATGATTTTCAGCCCAAATTCAAAAAACCCAATCATAAATAATGTAAGACATGATTTCAAAATGAATTTGACAAGCTTCGACTGATTCAGAATTGAAAAACCCTGCATTGTGCTGCTTTTTGATTCGAAATAGTGAAAAATAAAACGATGTTATTTTTCAATGAAATTTCATACATACTCAATTAACCTACCTAAGAATGAATATAAAATTTATTTTTCCAAAATCACACAAAAACTAGGCCAAATTGGACCTAGAGGCCAATATAGTGATTTTACTCCTCATTTTGATCCAGTCATCGGATCGACTTGAAATTTTACCAGGACCTCCGCACGGATGTTATAGAACTTTTGGCACCAACCAGAGGTCGATTGTACACTATACGTGTGCTCACTCTCCTTGGGGGTGTCCAGGGGTCTCTTGTCCAACTTCATCTTCTTCCTCTAGCTTTTGACCAAGTCTAATTTTTCGTATTTTTGATTAATTTTTAGCAACCTTTTTCTCTCTCATTTCTTCACATTTTTACATAATTCAAAATCCTAAATTGTACTTCTACACACCTATTTGGACATAAAAGTGTTGGTTTGCACCAAAACTCCTTTTTAGTTTCCCAAAAGTGAGTCAAAGTGGGCTGAGAGTCATAAAAACTGGTTGACTCTAACCTGATTTCAGCCAACGAACCAACTTTGGACACCCATAACTCCATTGTTTCTCAAGCTTTTTCAGTGATTCAAGAGCCTAATTTTCTCTCCTACAAACCTAGTTTTAAACCATACAACCCTAACCCTTCAATGTTCCCTCAAACTCCACAAATTTTTTGTCAAATTTAGCTCAAAATTTGATTTTTAAAACAATGTCAGACCTACAACTGACCATTTGACCCCCCCCCAAACAACCTCTAAATCCAATTCCGATGCCTGAAATGGATTCCTTGGATCCAAATTAGCTACGAACAAGACCCGTTTCAAAGCTTAAACAAGAATTCAAAAAGAACAAATTTCAAGTTAAACTCAAACCCTAGTTTCTTAACCCACCACCACAGACCATGGCCGGCCTTCTCACCACCACCAACCACCTCCAAATCTACCCAAGTATACAATACAAGTGATTAATTAGAAAGAAAAATAAGGTAAATGAATAACCTGTTTGAAAAACCGAAACGCATCTACACCTTCAAACTCAAATTCGAGCATATACACTAAATCAACTCCAATTCTAAGCTTACCAGTGGATTCCTCTCATCAAAAGGAAGAGTTTGATATTGATCTCGACCCTCGAATCAAGCCCTAGCTCAAACCCAAAAATTTCACTTTCCTTCTCTATCTTCTCTATTTCCCTATCTTCTCTCTCACTTTCTCTCCCCTCTGACCAGTTTCTATTCATTCCAATCCCTAAGGGAAGTCTCAAGATCATCCTAAAACATTCTAGAGGCTTGAAGAAGACTGGGGAAAGATGGGGAAGACCCTAGGATTGCCAGACAGCAACTTGGAAGGAAAAGTCATGCAATGACATTTTCGTAAATACCTCAAATCTGAATTTTTTTAATTTTTAATTTAATTTTTTTATAATTATATTTTCCTAAAAATATTTTCCATACACATGCATGTTTGGGTTTTACATGAGTTTTTTTCGCTAGAGCTCATGAGACTTTTTGATCAATTTGGCAATTATATTGTTGATATGCGCTGCAGCACTGAGTTTGCAAACCTCTTAAGGATTTGTGTTCTGGATAAAAAATGGTTGGGACAAAAAATGATGTGGTATATCCACTATTTTATTTTCTTGTGACTTTGCCATTGATATTACATGTTGCAATTGCCACTATTGAGAGAGCTTTTTCAACAATGAAGATTATGAAGACTAAGTTGTGTAATTGAATGGGTGATCAATGGATGATAGATAGTTTGATTATTTATATAGAGACACATTTTTGATGGCATTGATAATGAAGTTATCATGAAACACTTTCAAAGCATTAAGGCTCATCGTGATCGATTTTAAATGGCTGTAATTAGCCTCATTTTTGGTAAAAAGTTATAATTAAAAATTTTTTAGTTTTCATTTTTGTTTATATAGAATATATATACTTGTTTAGGCCATTTATGTTTAATGATCGATAATGCCCTTTAGAATTATAATTTTCATTCAAAAATATTATAATTTAACTTGTAAAAATTTTAATTTTCAATACAATACTTCTTTGGATACTGCAATCTTCCCTAACAAAAAACACATAAAATAACAAAAAATAAAAGCTACATAGAATGACAAAAGGGAGAACTTAGAAAAGAACAGTGAGCAAACATATTGCCTTTGGTGAAGTTTGAACATTTGACCTTCTATTTGAGGATGTCATTGGCAAGGGGTGACAACTAAGCCATAGTGCGTCTTATTCGAGTTGTTACATTTCTGGCTTAATAAGTGTAACATATAATTTTGAAACATCAATATTAGAACCTCCTCCTCTCATAACTAAATTCATTATATGTATGCCCCACAAATTATGAATGGATGCATTACACTTTGACCCTTCAATTATGACCTCAGCCTCATTGTTGTCTCCTTATTGTTGAATCTCTTATATTGCCCCTTAACTATTTCAATTAGTTTCACATCGCTCCAAAACCAACTGTACATCTGTTTTTGAACCAAGCATGTCCAAATTAGTACTAAAATACAATTTTTCAATAGCTATAATTGGGCAATGTGAAATTAATAATCATAATATGAGATGTAATGGAAGAAACTTGCTATTTAAGGGGGGTAATTTGAGACCAGAAATCAGAGTTGGAAGTGCAATGTGAAAAATATAATAGTTAAGGAAACAATATGAGATAATGGGTATAGTTGAATGGGTGACCGTGTGATTTACCCATTACAAATATAAGAGTTCAAGCCCCTTCCCCCTCCCCCTCCCCAACCCAACCCAAAAAAAAAAAAAGAGTTGCTAAACAAAATTTACTATAAGTTAACGTGATTTGTGTAGTTTTGATGATTCTTGTCTTTTTTTTAGTCAGATTGATGATTCTTGTTGAATGTGGAAATTTTAATTGAGAATTTATTTTGATGTTTTACTCATATCTTTAATTCAATTGACTTTTTTTGGGAGCAGAGTAGTGGAACTTGATGATACACAAAAGAGGATTATGCATAATCAACAGTCAAGTGTATGATGTAGAGTAATTAATGAAGCAATCAATGATAAAAGACAGAGATGGGGTCAACGCAGTTAGCACACAGATGTATAGTGATTTAGTCAAGGTGACCTACTCCATTTTGAAGGTGGAGACAAAAGCTGGAGAACTTTATTAATAAAGTAGAAGGTGTATATGTATGTGTGTGTGTGAGAGAGAGAGAGAGAGAGCAAGGGTAAGATTTGGGTAGATATGAGAGAAAACTATGTAAAAGGTGTGTAAAGATGTCCCTTCATATGTAGAGGGCTTATAATTTATAGGCACATAGCCTTAGTTGAAACGGTGGTCATGAAGGGTAGGTTACTAGCTTTTCGGGGAGGATAGCTACAACTAGGATAGGTACAATTAGAAATAGTCTTGATCTTTGAGAGTAGCTATCTCGGTAATTATTTCCCATTTGCGCTAATATTTCTAGACTTCTTCAACTTTGGACTGGACAGAATCCACGGGTTGGGCTTGACTTGATTTATAGCTAATTTGGGCCTACCTCATTAATTGGGCTTGACCCAATTGGATCTGGGCTCATCATTTGCCCCCATGCTCCAAGCTCCTTGGGATAACAAGGGAATGAGGCCAAGATTGAGCTCTCAGCTGAGGAAGATTAGGTGCCTTGTTACCCACAGTAGCTTCTTCATTTTCCCATCCCTCTATATTCACGATCACTCAGCACTTATTGCATTAACCATTGTCCCCTGTGTTGGATCCCTACTAAATTTAAAACCCCCTTTTTATCTAGGGCACCAATCTTTAGGCCTTTAAAGATCTTCCTTGTTTTACCTAAAATATCTCCCTTACAAACAAGGCTTAGAAACCCTTCACCTCCCTATTACCTACTGAGAAAGCAAGGCTAGATGAAGAAAATAACCTCAAAACTAGGGGAATCTATGGGGAACCCCATGGTTGGTGTCATAGGACCCTCCAATCCTTGGCATATTAGAGGGCAGAACAGAGGCACAAAATGAGCCAGTGTCGGCAAGTTTGAAAAAGATAGCAATGGCGGCATCCATGGTGCTGTTAACGACTCTGTGAGAGGCGGTGCCCATAATGTGGTTTACAAAGCAGCGGTGAGCGAAGCAACCCAGCTAGGTGATGGCGTTGGAATAGAGGGCGATGTCGGAGTGTCCTTGGCAGTAGGTGATGCCAGTGAGACGTTGGGCAACAACAACTCCTTGGGCGACGCCTTTGGTAGTAATAGGAGCACTAAAGTGGCAGTAGATGACAACCTCGCATGGACCCAGGCAACGCCAACAATGTGCAGGGCGGTGCTAGCATGCTAGACGACACCTTTCAGTGGTCATGCAACGCTAGGGGTAGGCTAGGCGGTCTAGGCAACACCAAGAAACAGTTGGTCAACGACGCCAAATGTGTGGGCGACGAGTGTGGCGGCGCCAACAGGTTAAGTCACAGTGGGTGCAATCCAAACAACTCTGGCGACGGCGGGCATGAACCAAGCAAGGACACAGACCTCGGTGCAAAAATTTATGAAGGTGAGGTGACCCTGTTTTCACTTTAACGTTTCTGTAACTCTGGCATATATTCTGTCATTGGGATTTCCTAGACCGCATTGTTTCTTCATTCCACATACCTCCTGCTATCATCTGTCGTCGGACCAAGAGGGACAAGCCCGTGTGTTATGACTCCTTGGGAGAGATGTTTTTCAACGAGGATGTCCTAGGGACGGGACTGAGATTTCCCATACTCGGGTTCATTTGTTGGATTTTGGGTCACTTATCATTGGCTCTAGGGAGGTTGACTCCCAATGGTTGGAGAGTGATTCTGACATTTTTCTCATTATGGTGGTTGGTCCATGGTGCTGACATCTCTCCTCCTTTTTGAGGAGTTCTTGTCTTAGTATGTGCTTCTAGATAATCCTACTCCTTATCAAGGGTGGTACCGCTTTGTCTCGAAGTCGAAAAAATTTATTACTAGACTGCCTTTAAATTGCCACAGATGGAAGTCTAGGTTTTTTTTCATTGGAGGTGAGTAGGCCACTGAGGAGGATCATGATTTTGTGCCTTCAAGGTGGGACACCGTTTTGAGGAACAATCTAGGTAAGAGTTTTGCCTTTGCTTTTACATTTGATTGTCATGTCTTTATACTTACTGTAAATCCCAGGAAAAATTTTAAATTTTTTTTTTGAAAAAGGGTAAAATGGTAATTTGTCACTATAATGTGGGTTTAAAATCCATATTTTTCTAGAGCTCGGATGATGTAATGGACCTCACCGTTGAATTCGTATCGCGAAATCGAGCTGCCTTGTCAATTTTCGTCGAATTCTGAGATAGTTGGATTTTACACGTTTTATGACAATTGGGTGACGAATGACCTTTCAAAGGTCCACAAAAATTTTTTTATAAAATTTCTTTATAATTAGGTAAAATTTCAAATAAAATTAATTTAAACTTAAATCGGGATGAAATAAATCGTTTAAGGACAAAAACAGACTCGAATCAGTGGGGTACATGTGACGTGACTCGGGCCAAGTATTGGAAATTATAAATAGGGCTAAATAGTAGATATTTCAGTAGAAATATCTCTGCATTCAGCTGATTCCAACGTTGGAGAGGAAGAGAGGAGAGAAAGTGAGATTCCAATCTTTCTTCTGCCGATTCTTAGAGTTTCGTCGGTCGGAATCCGTTGAGCCAAGAACTAAAGTCAATCACGTCGACAAGGGCACGCAACCATACCAAGAACGAAAGATTTCACCTAAGATCCAAAGGAGGAGATTTGAGAAAATCAAGTTTTGAAAGTGGTTTTGGTATTCTTGAAGTCTCTACATTTCAATCTACGCTACAAGAGGTAGGGTTTTTCTTACCTTGGTGTTATCCCTCTCCTTTGGAGCTGTTTTAGGGCCGGCTTAGGTGCTAAAACTACGGACTGTTTTGGGGTTGAAAGTATGGACCATTTTGAGTTAAAATATGGACTGCTATATGGTTGTATTTCGGACTGTTTTATGGCCTGTTTTGTGGCTGAAATTGCACCTGTTTTATAGCCTATTTTGTGGCTGAAATATGGACTGTTATGTGGCTGAAATATGAACTATTTTGTGGCTAAAATTGCGACTGTTTTATGGCCTGCTATGTGGCTGAAATGTGGACTGTTATGTGACTGAACATGGACTATTTTGGGGCTGTTTTAGGGGCCATTATACAGACTATTTTGGGACTGTTAAATGACCTATTTTGGGGCTGTTTTAGGGCCTGTTTTGTGGCTGAATTTAAGGCTGTTTTATGGCCTATATAGGGGCTGTTTTGGTGACTTATATAGGGGCTATTTTGTGGCTTATATAAGGGCTGTTATGTGGGCTATTACATGTGCAGTTTTGTGGTATATTGCACATTTGTGATTAAGTGTGTTATTGACATAAAAGTTGTGATAACATGCTTGGAATAGTGTTGTAAAATTGTGATATAAAAATTGTCAATGTATATACGTATTTGTGTTATATTGATATTGTGGAGAATTATGAAAATGATATGCTTATGATATAATTTTGTCATGGGATATGTAAAATGTATTGATCTTGTTCATATATCTTTCATAACATATTGAATATGTTATAATTGTGCAATGGGACATCATATTGCATATGCAATATAACATCGCATCATGTGGATGTGTGCATGGTTGTCGTCAACACCACACTTGGTGGATGACGAATGGACTTGATTAAGCTTGGTCGAAGACTTGGCCGAGTCGCACAGGTTACATGGTGATTAGGGTTGGGGTTAACAAGGAGGGACTAGAAGATCCCTCGGGTGCAAGGCCCGGTGATTGGGATACGCACTCCCTTGACTTGGCCCATGAAGTGTATGGGTGTACGCGGAGCCCTTGGTGGAAGTCCATAAATTCCGAATAGGTTGGAGACCCTTAGTGTAAGCCCATTAACATCCACCTCATACAAAGACCCTAAGTTGGTAAAAGTCAATTGATGTGCAACATAAATGACGATTCCATATGCATTGACACTTGCATGTGTTTAGGAGCTGGGAAGGGCTCGGGTTGATTTGCATGAGTGAGTCTCATCTCATTTTATTGCATGACATGATAAATTCCAACATTGAATGCATATTTTTACTTGGAATGTTGATGTAAATAAGAAATGTTGTATGTGAACATTGCATGTGCACTTAGGTGGGGAGTAGTCTTTATAGGAATTACTCTATTGTGCGTGGCTCACCCTATACGGAAAAATATTTCAGGTGTTGGATAAACACCGGTGGACAGCTTTCACTTGAATCCTCAAGGGTGAAGAGAGGCCGAATTGTGGTCTTTAACCTTGGTTTATGAAAAACTATGTTTTGGGTATGTAATGTGTAAAAGAATAATAACTGAGTTTATATGAGCTGTTTTAATATAACGATGCATCTTTTTATTTGAGTATGGATAAATGGACCCGCTGTGGTTAAGCTTTACTTATAAATGGACCCGGTGTGGTTATTGTGTTATATTGGGTCTCAGATGGATCATGTTAATGTATATTACACAGGTTGTGTACTGGGTAGAGCTCTCCGTACGAAGGAGACTCTGTCTGAATTTCTTTAAATTAAGGACCCTAATAAATGGGGCATCACGACATGATATTGAGTTACACAATATCCACAGACATTCCTCGGGTTGATGGGTGATCAACGGACCTCCGAATTTTTGGAGTGTCTCACTTACTATGTGCTTGGTCCCTTTGCAACTCAACCCAATTTATTTGCAGAGTAGGAGATTAGGCTTCAGGTCGTGAAGGATTATCCTTTCAAAGAGTTTTTGGCCATCATGTCCGCGTGCGGGTCATCCCAGGGTCTCCCCTAGGCAGAAAAGAAAATGTATTTGATCCTTTCAATAAACTTTGATAACTGTAATACTATAGGTTCTTTGTCTTACACCAATTCCACAGGTCCCACTGTTGATAGAGTGATGATGAAGGCTCTTTATGCTTCTAGGGTGACATCTTCCTCTCCTTCTAACCGTCGCAGATATCAGAGAGGTCAACTCTAGAGGTCCAGAGGGCATCAACAATACCGCGATAGAGGGGTTTGCCATGGTATGCCTTTTACTGAACTTTGATTTTGTACCTGCCTTCTTTCCCTTGTGTCCTACTTTTTCAACGCTTGTAGGTAGCTCTATTTTTCCCTGTCTCTTTTCAAGGACGGTCAAGTTTGGAGAGACATCAATAACTCTAGGAGAGGAGATGTAGGTACGGAAGCTACTAAGGAGCAGTTGAGGCTAGAAAGGTTGGTGCGAGAGGCTATCAAGGAGCAGTTGAGGCTAACTCATGAGAGAATCGCACCTCTTGAGGCCAAGCTTTTGGCTTCTTATGAGAGGGTCGTTCAGTTGGAGGTTGACAAAGAGGCTGCCTATGCGAGAGCAGAGATAGAGCTGAGGGTGTCCCTTGAGAGGGCCGCTGGTGCTAAGGCCAAGCTACGAATAGCTCGGGAGAATGCTGTCATGTCAGAGGCTGACCTTTGAGCAGTTCTTGAAAGAGTTACCAGGGCAGAGACTCACTCCATTTAGATGGAGAAGAGGAGAGAGGCTACTGAGATGGTCGTTGAAGATCCCTTTATTGATAGTTATGAAGAACTTAAGAGGAAGGTCTCAGTAGTTTTTTCTGCCTTTGACTTTTCTAGCTTCATCCCATATGAGGCACTAGGGACTGATAGTGATGGGGGAGAGTTTTGATGAGAGTGGATCAGAGAGCAGTGAGTGATGTCAAGACTATGACACTTTTATCTTTTTACATCTCTTTTTGTTGTTAGGTCATGTTCTATCTTTTGTAAATTGTTTACGAACTTTATAGAATGAGAGATAGTTTTTGACAAAGATAATCTTACAAATTTTTATTTCATAATTTGAAGTAGATAACAAAAAGAATTGATTAAAACAACAAAAAGATAATTTAAATGACAGTTACTGACTTATACGCCCACTGACTTGCCCCCTACAATTGGTAATACCTCTTCAGGTGTTCCGTGTTTCATGGATGGGTCAGGGCTTTCCCCTTAGAGTTCTGAATTCTATAGGTGCCCAATTTTACAACTTCTATAACCAAGTAGGGTCCCTCCTAGTTAGGACCTAGCTTCGCTTCCCGAGAGTCTTTGGTAGATTGGATGACCTTTTTGAGGACTAGGTCCCCAAGCAAGAAAAAGCGAGGCTACACCATCGAGTTGAAGTACTTGGTCATACGGCGCTTGTACTCTACATTCCTGAGTATAGCCATCTCTTTCTCCTCCTCTATCAAGTCGAGTTTGATGTAGATGACATCTTTATTAGTGGTAGGGTCATGGTGTTAGACCCTAAGGGAGTGTACCCAAATTTGGACTGGTATGACCACCTCTGCCCCATAGGCTAAAGAGAAAGGGGTCTTTCCCATAGGGCTTCTTGGAGTTGTCTGATAAGCCCATAGTACTCCTGGGAGTTCATCCACCCATCACCCCTTTGCGCTTTCCAATCTGATTTTTAGGTTATGGAGGATCGTTTTGATGGTGACCTATGTCTGCCCGTTCACCTGTGGATGGGTTGGGC